TGGCAACATTTTAGCACCATCAGTATTTCCACAAGTTCATAGCTTCTCCTCTTTCGTGAGTAGTTAGGTAACACATTTCTCATTCCTAAACAGGTCATAAGTTTTCTTCTATACAATAAGCATACTTGATTTATTAAGTATTTCATGTAATTGGCAGACTTCTACAATGTAGTGTACTATTGAAGCCCTCGACATTTGGCTGTTACAACATACACACAGTCACTGTGAAATAAGCTAGAAACACAAGAAAATCTTTTTAATAATAAATGATTACTAGAAGAGGCAGATAGTGAAAACTTGTTCATTGCAATAGGGCTAACTAATATTGCAATTAACAAACCTATGTACTTGAAATAGATTCATAGATTAGATTCATAGATTAAGGGTCGGAAGGGACCTAGTAGATCTTCTAGCCCGACCCCCAAATGACCATGAGTCTACTATAACAAACTCACTGCAAAACTTAATCTTGGTTTATATCGTTAAGATAGTTTCATTGCTGAATACTGCCACAAAGTAATATTCAAAAACATTATATTATGTTGTTCAAAGCTGTATGATGAATATAAATTATAAGTCACTTATTTTGTCAGTTTGAGGATATTATATACCTTTGGAAATTAAAATCTGAATGATATTGAATACAGAGAAAGTCCCATTTTTGTAGTGCTTAATATAACCTTGCTTATTTAGACACATAGCTTTATACCAAGCCACTCCTATATATATAAAGGCTGGGGAAAGGCAGATAAAATGAGCAATGACAGTAATAGCGTAACTTGGACCTTTTATTTAGTAAGCAAGACGTTTTGTTAAAGAGATGCTCTCCTAACATCTGATTCTGCACTTCTTACTTCGTTAAACACTTGCAATGAAGTGAGTAGTTTTAAACAATAACAATAAGCAATTGTTTGACACAGTAAATGTGGCTATAGAATGTATAATACTCACCTATCACATGCCATATACCATATGACATTGTATAAATTGGGTATATTAGAGATCTATGATATTACATATATAGGGTGGTGCCAGGTGTTCTTACAGGTACAAAGTAACCCCTGTCCTATTAAAAAACAGGCTGAAGGTGTGTGTGTGTGTGTGTGGGGGGGTTAAATAGAAGTTTACACATGTCTAAATAGAAATGAACAAATAAAGTGTATGTTCATACCAAGCTGTAAGTATGCACAAAACACTTGAGAAGGTGGTCTATATCGTTACAAATATACCATTTGTATTTATACTGCCAGTATATCACTGCATAAGCATGAATGCAATTATATAGAGAAACACACTCTTCAGTATAGCCTCTGGCCTGACTTGGTAATCAGGAAGGAAGTCTTTCAGTGTTCCTATATAGAGACTAGAGTTCAGGAAATTAAAACTTATCTCCAGAGTTGCTTCTGTGTGCAGGAATGTTCTCCTTTCCACAGTCTAAGAATCTGATTAATTTTCCATTTCAGTCTTCCTCCTTTTAACCAAGTTATGAGAGTAACCAATAAAAGATATTCTTTAAACTTATTCTGAAAACACTAAAACTTCAATATTACATTCTTTTATTTAAGTGGTAGCATTGGGTACATGTTAACATAAAATTATTTATAAACCAAAATGATGGCTTTTGCAAAAATAAAAATGGGAGTTCTATGTTAAAATAAGATTTTAATTATTTATCAGCGATTCGATGGTTAGGGGAAAAAATTATTTTCAAAGATATATGTACCTTATACCACATGTATACGCAACCAATCAAAATGCTGAGCCAGTCAAACTTTGCTTCAGTAGACAGAGGATTATTTTGAATGAGAAGCTATAATGAGACCACGTAACAGTGATGTAACATTTCCTTTAGCAAAGTACATTTTCTTTAACATATACTATATTCATTCCACCTTCAGTCTTTTTACAGCTAACTGCTGGAGACACTTTTCCTGACCCCAGGACTGCGTGTATATTTGTACAGGTTACTGGAAAAGTATTTAAGATTCTGAACCCTCCAAAATTTGGTTGGTTTACCTAACCAGTCCAGGATAACAGTCAAATTGCTGATAAGCACAAACTTTACTAAATCAATTGCTTTCATGCATTTGTTTTAAGAACAGTTTTCCTATATGCTTATGCAGCCACAAAATATACAAAAACAATGTTCATAGATGTAGTATCATACTTTTGACTGCACGTGATGTAAGGCTTCATGGTGTAGCACACCCCAGTCACTTCCCAATCTCCTGATGTTTATCTACTTACAATATCCTCCTGTCCCTTCCCCTACCATTTAAGGCCTGCAAACCGTATAGTGGCAAGTTTTACAGCCTCTACAAACCTATGCCACCCCGTGGGCCAGAAAGTAGAATTAAAGCTTGGATGAGCACATAGGGTGCCTACAGACATGCTTGTTTGCATTCTAATTAGAATGTGTCAGAGCAGACTCAATTAATTGATGACACACCAGATGACAAAGCTAACAGGTTTAACGATTTCTTTGCCTCCGTCTTCCTAAGTAGGGACCAGAACAGCCACCTCCCTGCTAGGCCCCCCTCGGGCCCCGGGGGAGGCACACCTGGGCCAAGGGTTAGCGAGGATTTAGTTAGGGAGCTTCTGGAGGAGCTGGACATTTTCAAGTCAGCTGGTCCGGATGATCTCCACCCTAGAGTTCTAAAGGAACTGGCTGAG